GACATCTCAGTAAGCACTCCCTTCTTGATCATAGTACCTTTCATATCCATTTCTTTTTTAGGTCTACCTCTACCGGTTACCACAAAGGATTTTTTTGTAGTAAATGACAGTGCCCCTTCTTGGGACGCCAGTCCTATCATTTCTAATGATGTTATAGTTAGAGACCTTCATTCCCTCATTGTTGGTTTGAGAAATGTTTCCCGCGCGAGTAACACATCGACTTGGTCGCGAAGGAAGTTATGAACTTCACCGTTGTTCCCTAATACCGTTCGAGGTAATAAAATGCTACGCTATTTACTCATAAACGTGGTTTAGGCTGAGCGCCATCCGCGCTCGGCTACCTCAATCCCGGTGCAGATGCAAATGCCTCTTCTAGGCAAACAGTGACAACTCAGTCAAAACAGGTATCACACTCATAACTAGAGATCTAATTAAAACTAGCATTATAATGAGTGATTTAAATTAAACGCCTAACAATAATTTCATACTTAAATCCCTGATACGGATGGTGTTAAACCTCATGTAAATAAAACAAGGGACGAGGGAACTCGAGGTGTGTCGGTGTCGGAAGTAGGCTGTTATCCTGTTTCCGGTGGATACGCCCTACCTGTCCGACACTCGTCGTTTGTATTTACTTTGTTACCACGCTACTTGTTTTTCTTTATGTTAGTGTACTAACGAATATTATATCTACATATTGATACGACTGTTTGGTGTTGGTTATACTCTTTAAATAGTACAGTTTTTCACAACAATTCTAAATATTCAGATGTATCTAGGAGAGAAGAGAGTATACTAAAATTGTTTATTATGTTTATTTTAAAATCTGTAAAAAACTGAAGAGATTACCTAACCTTCTATGAAAATGTTCTATGAAATTCATAATAAACTTGTCTTTACTTTCTTAAGTAGGTAATGTAAAAAATGAGCTAAAATGTTAGAGGGTTTGTAAAAAGTAACACAAATTCTCTAAACATAAAGCTCTTCCTCTAAGCGGTGGCCGAATTATATTAGGGTTCGCTTCACAGTCTACCCGTATCTTAAATTTGGCTGATCTTTACCGCCGTCACGGGTCAGTCCACTTGCGTTTTTGTTTAAGTAATTCGGTGGATATTCTGGTGTAAGAATATTCTATTTTATACATGATAATCGTGTATATAAACGCAAAAACGAAACTTTAGTTGCAAAAAACTTTAATTTACGTAAGTTTTAACAAAGATTAGTGCAAACGCGTGGGTTATTATAAAGTTTTCTTTAAACATATTAATAACATTGTTTAAATTGATGTACAGATCAACAATAACAACTAACGCTTTCTATGTTATTTGAGATCCGTAATGTGAACCAAAAAAGATAAGGTCATTAAACTATTATAAACCAATAAAAGCGTGCATTAATTTGTGTAAATTTTTCATAAAATAAAAAGAGCCATTAAAGAATCAATCTTTCGGAACGGACGAATTCAGGAAACGAATACAGTCACGTTTCGGCCGACTAATGAATACTTGTCATTTCGAATTCATCATTAATAATAGATTTCAATCACACGGCCGCTATTCGATTGGATTTTAATTTGCCTACGTTGCATTCGCTTCGGGATTCAATTGATTCAATCATCTCTTTATCTCATTGTTTAGGAATTACTGTAACTCATTTTCTGGAGTACTTCATTGTTTGTCTATGCTAATATAATAAAGCGTTAACACACACTTCTTTGTTATGAAATCACACAGCAATCGCAGTATATTTTTGAATACTTATCAGTGTAATTAAAAAAACACTTAGGACACGCGTTAGGTATATATTACACTGTATTTTAACACTTAAATTTAGATGGTGAGTAAATTTGATAGAATTGTTATGCGTGATAGGGACTAAAACTATGAGCCTGTGCCAGGAAATAATCAATATATCTATAGTTACTTAAATTCTCAGCTAATAGTAAAAGGTCTTCATTCTCGTTGGGACATTTAAATTTACGTGATGAAAACAATAAAAGAGCCGTATGAGAACAGCTAGTTTTTGTAGAGGCTCGATTAGTCTCATTACAAATACCAAAAAACATTCAATAACAATCTTTCTATATAAAAGCTAAGCAATAAAAATCACTTGACTCAAATAAGCAACATTTCTTCCAACAAATTCACTCCATTTACGTGTTTGAAATATTCACGTCGATTAAATTAACCTCAAGAGCAATAGAAAACGTTCGATATTTTACGTCGGACCCACTCCGAGCTATACAAAATTACCTTATCCGTACGGACCACTAGGAAATAAAGCAATCTCAATGTAACCATTTCTCAGACGTAGCGAACTACATTTCTATAGGGCAGGGTAATTTCTATACGAATGCTTTCTGGCGTCGTACTAAGATTTATTTATTGAATCATGTAACTGCCGAGATTTCTTCGTACCAATTAAGAATGGATAATTGGATTTTTCAATAATAATAATTTCTTGCTTCGATCAGCATCAACTGATCGAAATTATACACTACAAGTGTCAAAATAGTTAAAAACAAGTATGATTTCTTTTAATATAAACTAATCATTATTAAACTATTAAAATACATTACCTACTTAATTCAATTGTTACAAAAAAAATGTAGCATTTTAGTATCAGAAAACTTTTAAAACTACATCCTGTTTTAATGAAGTAAAATATCCTGCTAAAACAATCTTCAGCTAATGACAATTTATAATGAATTCATCTGTGCGAGTCGCTTCTGCTAAGACGAGGTAAGCACTTACGCCTGTCACTGTGTTGGCGAATTAATCACCATCACAATCAGCGACGTCGATCGCTGACACAGACAAGCTACTCATAGAGCAAGCATTAATCAGCTCCTTGTGATTGCCTTTTAAGATTCTCTCTAGTTTAATTGTTAGAATAATCGTTTCTAGGAATATCTTCATATTAGCTACTTTAAAATTGGGTATTAACCGTTTCTAATTAACAATGTTGACTTTATTATGACGATTGAGAATTATTTTCCTTTTCACCCTTTTTCTCATAAGGATAGGTTGGAAAGAAAACGTGGATTTGACGGCGGAGGAGACGCAAACGAAGGGGAAACATCTTTATGTGTGTCTCCTCCTCCGTCGATTAATGGGAGACAACGGATCCGCTATTGCAAATGTCTATGGGCAGCGGTCGCTTCGCCATTTTGGCGGATTAAAGTGGCCGCTTGCTCGTTCGCCACCTCATAATAAATAAATAAAAAATAATTACCAATCGTTACAATTGGTAAACCTTTTAAGATTTAAATACACTGTAAGCCTATTAAAGCGCCAACAGCCCAACAGTTAAGGGTACGGGTGATTTCCGTACAAGTGGTCGAGGGTTCGAAATTTGTAAACCATTCCAATAAGCCTTTAGCTTAGTTAATGGCACAATATTAGTAAATTGAAATTTGAATAAAAAACATATGGTAACTTAAAGAAGAATTATTCAGTCCGAATGGAACTTTATTTTAAGATAAATCAGTAATACCGTAAAGGTACAAACGCCATGTTTTGGACAGCTAAAACTACCCAATTAGGTACAAAGAACTAATCAGACTCGTCTTGTTCATTCGCAATTAGTGTTTGTGAGACAGATTTCCTGCACGCGAGCTCCCGCCTATAGACAACCGTTGCCATGCTTACATTCATAGCAACATTAATTACACGTTCATTCATATACTTTGCTTTATTTGCTTTGCTTCTCAAACTTTCTCTTTCATTTCGTATTTACTTCTCATTAGTGCAATTGCTTCAAGCTGCCGAACACTTGGTATGCTTTTGTATATCGCCAGTAATAAATATTTTACGAAACTCGAAAGTTTTAAAAACAATAATTACACACAATTAAAGTAAATAATAGTCGAGATTTTTCTATAAGAATTATTAGCTTTGTTTTGACAAATAAAACAGGACACAAAACACATAATTTTCTTATATATTTCATGCCCTAAGATGTAATCATCGATGAATCTGACGTGGATTTATTCAAGAATGAAAGTAAGAAAAATAGGGCCAATAGTTTTATTATTGGCATAATTCTCCATATAAGTTATTACCATAATACTCCGCTCACTCGGAATCGATTCTCTAAGAATATAAGCTCCTACTTACATATTAATTATTTCTATTGTTCTGATAGTGAGTGTATAGTCTAGGATCTCAGGATTACTCGAATCTATTTGTCTTTGTACAATTATTACGTCATTTATGTGTTAGTATAACTGATTTGGAACAAACTAAAAAATTAATATTGTTAATGATTAAATATTGTCTATTTTGAACTATAGCGTATTACCGTTTTTTTCATTTTTAGGTTGCTTCAAATATCTTGTCTATTATCAATTCAAATAAGAACAAGCAAAATAGTAACATTAATCTGGATTCAAATTCTCGATATTGGTTTATTAAGGTGATATTACCGAAATACTGTTTGATTGTTGTTAGAATTTCCTGGCAGTGAAATATAACAGAGTATTATAAAATATTTCAAAGACCAAATGTGTAACAATTTCCAAGCGCCTGTATGGCGGCTATTCTGTTGGCCAGTGATGAGACAGCGGATTGTTGCGATCGATGGCCCCTGTTCGGCTATGCAAATAGCCCCTCAGCGCTACGGGCGTAGCGGTTATCCTCGATATGTCCATCGTTTTTGCAGATTGATCCGAAATAGACTAACATACCCGATTTTGTGTCGACGCTTTTATTTTGTTGATACAAAATTTTGTATTTCGTTGTAAGGAATCTTTATTTATTTAGTTTATGATATACGAAACTATATACGAAGGTCGACTTTAAAACTAACCGAAGATATTGGTTGTTTGATTGGTTGTTATATCTAGGAAGGAGAAGTATTAATTTACTTTTATTTTAATACTTTTGCACGTTTTGCTTCCTATGTCATATTTTAATTTTAATGAAACAAACAGTTGAATAATAGTAAGGTCAAGGAACAATCACTTCGATTGTAAATATCAACTAAAACTATTTACATACCTACGACGTGTATGTACGCGGAGCGGACTTGTGTGTGGAAGGAGGGAGCGTCCGCGGACACCTCGCAACGGAACCGGCCGGCAAGCGCGCGTGTCGCCTCGCGCAACACCACCTGCTGCGACGACGACTTTGATATCTGCAAGTATAGTAACGTTTTAGGTATCTTCAACGATTCAAATAATTTGATTTGACATTCATTACTATCATTAACAATATAGCTTGAAAATCTATTTGATTCTGAGAGGAGGGTTATTAAAGTTGTATTCATGCTTTTGAGAGAAAGAGATGGATGGATTCTGTGAAAGGTGACATGATCAAGAAGGCAGTGATGTCTGAGATGAAGGATGATAGAGTGATTGGAAAGACAAAAACCTGGCATGCTGACCCTACAGGAGTAGGATACGGTAGGGGAGATAGTGATGACAGTAGATTGTTTGGACTCAACTCAAGATTTGTACTTCAAATCTTCTGTTTATAAGACAACTATTTTAAGCAACTGTGCCAAAGCACCGTTGTGCTGACGATGAAAATTGTTTAATGTTATATTTTGCATACTACCAACTTGTCCTAGATTCATTAAATTAGATTTCCAAACAAAAAATCACTGACTTAATTATATTTGACGTACAAAAATGAAATAAACTTTAAAAAATGTTATAATTTCGTTGAAAAATTCCAACAGTTCGACCCGCTTCAAAGCGTCGTTGTAATTAAGGCATCATCTTTTTTTTTTCTATATTTCAATGTCCGGCAATATTCCGCGGCCCACTTCCACTTATTGATCCGGCATTGGAAAATAAGAGCCACCCCAACACCCTCTATATCCCCTCCAACTTGTTTACACTGACCACGATTCTAGCTCATTTTAATTTCTCACGATATTCCCCCTTCTTTTATTATCTTCGGAGACAGCAGTCGAGTAACCCCTCCATTGCCCTCTTTTATTTAACGATCATTTTTATAACATTATGGAAAATGGTTAGACTTTTATATTGTTTTTGATGCTCCATAGTTCCTTTATTTTTTCCTCCCTTTTTACTTTGTTTAAAAAGACGCTTCGCCACTTTGTAAGAAATTTTAGCTGAGATTGTTTCTAAATAAATAGCATAATTTATGAAATGTTAAAGAAAATGTTTTTAAAATTGAAGTGGAAGGTTTCTAGTTTTCCATAATGCTTAAGTTTAAAATGTTCCTGTTTGTCAAGAAAGTTGCAAAGTGAACTCTGTTTTTGAGTAAACAAGTAACTACATATTTTTGTTCAATTTGATGTTTTTAAATCGCAGTTTTGTAAGCGACTCCGCGCGATCGTTTTGAAATCCGATACAATAATAACGATAGGAAGAACGCAACGTTTGTTATGTTACGATTCGATTCGAATCGAAGCGATTACCGTTACACCTTCATTGTCATTCATTGTTATTGCGTGTTTATTAGGAAAGCGAACGTTTTGGACGCGAAATTGATCGTTATTTGTAATGTTCGCTTTGATACGTATTGCTTTGAAAGAATCGAAAATTTTACTGCTCATCTTAATCAGTAACATCTCTTTCAGGATTATTGAACCTGCATCTATATGACAGAATTTGTTTCTATCATTTATTAGTCTGTAGCGTAGCAACTTTAAATTTCTCAAGACGAATCAACTTCTTTGGTGAAGCTGACAAAAATCATTAAATTTTCAGAATTATCATCACAAAATGTTATCATTGAATTTCTAAATAATCTAGATCTGTATATTCCAATGGAACGTGACCGACAATAAAAACAATATGTTGGGATCTTAGAAAATCTTTTGATACACGCACAAGATACAAAGCTATTCCGTAAGTAGGGGGTCTTAAACGACGTAATAGAGGATTCTAATTGGCCTCAGACGGCTCACTATGCTTAACTGCCAATTAAGGTAGATTACCCAAGTATAATCACGTCCGCCATACTCGCTTCAATTGCTAATAGGAGATTCTCCTAAGTCCGGTCGGGCATTTTCTTTTTAAATGTCTCACACTGACCGTCACTGTAGAATTCCATAAAGTTCTATAGTTTCTAATAGTGCAAATATTAGTGTTACATTTGCTTCTTCACGGTTATTACTCTAGTTCCCTTGAGCCTTTCTTTGCATGGTATTATAAAAACCTTGTTTAAATTCGTAAAACTTTCATTTCCCAATGTCAAAATTCAAATGCTTATATGACACTGAAGGCATTCGCGATTTCTGTTATCTTCCGTTACCTAACATTTTCCGGTACCTTGGAAATCATGATTCGTTGCTGTTACGATTTGTTACAATTTGTTTACCCCCAATGTTTAATAGAGTGAAAGTATTTAGCCTATATCGTGTCATAAGTGTAGGTATTTTTAATTAAAAACGGAGTATTCAAAAATATACTGTGATTGTTGACATCCAACATAACAAAGAAGTGTGTTTACGCTTTATTTTACATAGATTAAAGCATCACATCAATACTCTATTAAATTACCTTATATGCCTTATAAATAGAATCTTCCAAGTATTCTTAAAGAAGATACTTTTACATTATCTTTGTTAATGAGGTAGATGCTAACGTTACGTTACTTTAAGCAATCTCCTCGTTTTATAAATATCAGATACACGTCAAAACCAAGTATTAAGATAATATCCTAGTATCCTAGAAAATAGGTAAATACGTCATCAACATCAGCTCGCTATACGTTACTATGTGGCTCAGACATAACCTATGATAGGATGTCTGGAATAAGAACTAAAATGATAGATCTGATAATATTCTCTTACAAAAGAGATTATGGTGGAAATCAAGAGACGCATAAGAAACCAAGATAGAGAATCTAGCAGGAAAATACGAGAAAGTATTAGTCACCGGGAGTAAAGTTCAACGACAAATCTCATACAAATTTTGTCGATGTTAATTCTATGTCACAAATTTACATGTTAGACCCCTAAGTATAATAAAAGACTCATGAGAGAATTGTTTTATTCAAAAGATGTGATGATTTGTATTTTATTGTAAAGTAATGGCAGAATTTGAAATAGACAATAACAGTAAAGGATCATAAAGGTGTGAATATAACAGTTCACATCGGATTGGGAGCACAAACGAAACGTAACGATCACGCTATTGTTATGATAGGTATTGTGGAATAGCGCACTGCACGCAGCGGGAATTAAAATTTATACATTGTGTAATTCACGCTTTAGTCGTGTGCATAATTAAACACCAACCTATATTAGGTTTCTCTTACTATTCATGAAAACAATAGTAATTAACAATGATCCTTATATCTATTTTAAATGTACAAAATATGAAATTGAAATATAATGTTCATAAGATACGGGTTTCTTACCATGATTGGATTGTTTAACTCCCGATGTTACGGCACAGACAATCGGCTGGCACGGGCTCGTGAACATGGCGATTGCAACTGTGCTGAAATATTGGGAGCTACAAGAATCCAATTGTGGTAAGAAACCCGTGTCTTATTAACATTATATTTGTAAAAACCACGACAGTTTAAACGTATAAATTGAAATATTCTCCCGGTAATCAAAAAAGACATTGTAAAATCTTACTATCTTACTAATAATACAAGTGTGCAAGTTTAGATGGATGTTTGTTAGAGTTTGTAGCCTAAAAGGCTGAACGGATTTTTAGATGTAGAGGATAGTCTGGAAGAACACATAGGCTATTCATTTTTTTATACGGAGTCCAGGGTGATAACTAGTTTACTATATTATTAGCAATTTAGTATAGTATTTATAAATACCTGTAGAATACTCAAATCTCAACATTAGGACAGTCTATTTTTACGATAATTTTTTTTTTCGTTTCTAACGTTTTTTTACATACGTCATTATGCCTTTGATATCCATAAACTTTGTCTACAGGCGCATTGTTTTTTGGTTCGACATTTTTAAGATAGAATTATTTTTCATAGAATCATTTAAAGAAATTCTTTTTACAAAACAAATCCCCTTTTGTTTTAAAAAATCTTATTCAAATTGAAAGATTTATTGAGAGGCTCGAGTGTTATTCACTTGCCTTTATTTAATACAAAGGATTCTTGTAACGGTAAAAAGATTTTTTTTATAGATTCAATTGTTGTTTTGTTCAGATAATTGAATTTCGAAGGTTTCACCCATTAATTTTGTCAATTTACTTACGTATTCTTTCTCTTAAGAGCAAAGAAGGGTATTTTAAAAGCTCTTAAATTATGAATTTTCCTATTTAACTTTGAGACAATATTTACTTTGTACATAATATCTCATTTTTCTATTATCAGGGGTTTTTTTCAGGTTTTTTCGAATTAATTTCGTACCTTACCCATTCGTGTTATTTAACATACATTTTCAAATATTTAAAAGGTCGAATTTTTTCGTTTTAGTAAACGAAGACTGATTAAGGTAATGTAAGGGGCGAAAAATTTCTTACTCCTTACTTCATAATGTACATATTATTTTTATACAAAAGTATAAAATAAAAACTTCCAATACGTTAAGGAATAAATATTTGAAAGGCGTTATTTTGAACCTTCTATATTTACGGTCCTATTTATAAACTAAGTTTTTCACGTATGAAAAAGGTTAGCTTGGATTTCAGAAATATGTTTTCTGAAATTATATAAGTGAAATAATTAGTGGCTTGTAATATATATAACAATAAGACTTGGAGTTTAAAAATATACATTGTCTGACAAGAATAAACACACTCGTCATGTTACAGAAAAATATGTAAGTAAAATTTGATTAAAGCAACTCTTAGCTTGATTTTTATATTCTTGGGTACGTCTATACTATTATAATAAAGCGTAAACACATACTTCTTTGTTGCCTAAGATGTCAGCAATCATAGCATATTTTTGAATAATCATCTTTGTAATAAAAAGCCCTGCACTTACGTCATGCTTTAGACTATATATTTTGGATAAAAACCTTAATGTGAGAAAGAGACCATAAGTTGCTACCAACATCAAGAAAGCAAGATTGCTAAGGTTTTCAGTCATTTTGACATTTTCTATTGATAATATTATAAATGTAAACAATAAAATAAAACCGCTCGGGAACAGCTAGTACTATTTAATGATATAGAAGTGTTGTTAGACATTCGTTATAAATACAATGTTTAAAATCTCCACTAAGAGCCTTCCTTAAGGATCACTTAACACGCTAAGTGCGGCAATAAGAAATAAATATTAATATAATCCATGACGTAGATCTTAGGATTATCCTGTACCCTTGGTAATAGCTAAACGTTCCGAAGTTTGCATCCCTTCTGTTACATTATAACTTAAAACAAGAAAGTTTGTATCCATGCTTAGCTAACTAACAATCTGTTTACCGTTAATACTTAGCAAAGTTAGATACTTGAATACTCAGTACTTAATTGCTATGAAATGTCATAACCAAGGTATATGCAAGTGATGAGAAAGTTTCGATGGTTGGATGTTAGATTCTGTAGCCTAACCTGCTAAACGGATTTCGATGAAATTTGACATAGACGTAGAGGATAGTCTGGAAGAATACATAGGCTACTCACTTTTATTTTTTTAACTCCACGGACGGTGTCGCCGCCTAAAACTTGTAAAATATAAACACCAATAGCATAACGGTTTGGAGTACGGACTACCGATTTTGTGGTCGAGGGTTCGAATCCCGCCATTCGACTATTGTCGTGAACCATATCTTAGCACAAGCCTAGAGCTAAGTTAGAATGGTTAAAGGAAATATTAGTAAATTAACTAGATCTACTAATATTTTTTACAAAAAAAAATCAATAGACTTCAATGTATCAACAGAATTAAATATAATAATGTTCTGTTGATGTACTGTTACATTATTAAGTACATTGTAAGACTAAAATGTATCTAATCTATCTATTTTCTTTATGTTAAATTAATAACTACAGTAAGAACTAAACCTACAAACAAACGAAGCTAAATTCATAAAAAAGTTAATAAAAAAAACTAAGCAAACAAGCAAGTTTATACTAAGATTAATTTATTTAAAAATTTCCATACCAGCACTCGATATTTATTACACAGGATGAATAAGAGATGCCCATAAAATATTATCTGTTTGTTCAAACGATCGTATTTACGACGATACGAAGGTAATGCGATATCAGTATATATTCATCAGTAGATTTGTAAGATTTAAATACCAATAACTACTCTATAACAGAGATTCATCAAAGTGTAAGTGAAGAAAATGGTACAGATAAGATAATATTCTAAGTTGCAGTAAAGGATAACAGAGTCCTAAGACTTGATGATGACGAAGGAATGGATTCTCCTTCTTGCAGAAGAACCTTGCCTGTAGATTTTGTTAAAGAGACAAAGGAGCAATGAAAATCTATAATGTCAAGAGATACCTGACGGCTTAACTACTAAAGGAATTGGTGCTGTACTGAGAATTGATAGAAATAGTACTCTTCTTAAAATGTAAGTCTTCTTAATAAAGTTCTATACATAAGTGAATTTCTAATATAAACTTAGTGGTTTAATATTGAATAAGACGAGAATTTTTAAGACACCTAAAACGCAGCAATAAAATATAGTCCGCCATTACTTATTTTCGTTTCATATAAAGGCGATGGTTTTTAATGCTGATCGTAAAGCGAATCTTCCTAACAATGGTTGACAATAAAACATGAAAAGTGCGTTAACGACCAATAAAACCCTGTTTACTGTATCAAGACCATCAGGTCAGGTTAAAGCAATATACATAAAGTTAGCGGCAATGGAAAACGAATTTGCTTCTTTATTAAAGTTGATAAACTGTGTTTTATTGAAGAAGAATATAAGTACAACGTATGAAGAGTTAAACGCATTAAGATTGCATGTGGCTGAGATGCGTATGTTAAGATGGATGTGTGGTGTGACAAGATTGGATAAAGTTAAGAATGTGTACATTAGAGGAAGTTTGAAAGTAGCGCCAGTGGTGGAGAAATTGAGAAGCAAAAGGTTAGCGTGGTATGGACATGTTATGCGACGAAATGATGGGGACATAAACCAGAAAGTGTTGAGATTGAATGTGGATGGCTACAAAGGAAGAGGAAGACCGAAGAAAGTATGGATGGATTGTGTGAAAGAAGATATGCTTAAGAAAGGAGTGGATTCAGATATGACGGCTGATAGAGATGTATGGAAGAGCAGCACATACTGTGCCGACCCTCCATAAGGGATAAGGGCAAGTGGATGATGATGTATGAAGAGTTAAACGCATTCTTCGCTCTTCTATCATAACTAATTCAGGGCTATCAAATTTCATTCAAATATTTCTACCAATAGGCAACCACTAGTTCTATTTAGAGCCTGTGCACCGTTGACTAAATAGAACAACTGTTTAGTTTCGCTTTGATTCCTATAAGCTTATATCAAGGTACTACTCGATTTTTAGTTATCCAACTAAACAGTTGTATTGGCTGCAAAACAATTGACAATCTCAACAGTTGTGCGATAGTCTCAGGTGTGCGCACGCCCTTAATGTATATCACAATAGTAAAAAGACAAGTGAATATCGATGAATAAAACAAAGTTGTACATAAAAAATCCACTTACGTCGACGTTGATGCCCGGCTGCGCGAAGAGTCTCGTATAGGGATACTCCTTGGGGAGGTAACTGAAGAACTCCTGTCTACCCCGGTACCACTTCACACTGTACAATGTCTCGTTCCCTTCTAAAGTCCATTTACAACCGAGCAACACTGTGTCACCCAATCTGACAGCTGACGGCGCTATTAGTTGCACGTCACGCAATGCTCGCGAATCTGAAAAAAAAAACAATCATTAGTTGACTCCCTAAAGTTGGGGTATAAAGAAGGCATAGGCACTGGTAACATTGTTATAACATAAAATAATAATAAAAATAGGGAGTAACGTACGTATAGGTTTATATTTGAACGTAAATGAATCAAGAAATACATATTTTGAGAAATTTATACACTCTTAATATTTTTAGAGTTGAGGACTTAACAACGATTATACACTCACTTTCAGTTTAAAAACAGGTAGAATGTTAAACCACAAATTACTGAAAGACGAATCTAACGAATTTTGTGTATAAGAATCTTGAATATTCTTTGATATCTTAAAATATTGAAACTTAGATCTCGTTACCTCTACTAGACGATGAAAGTGTCCTTCAAGCCACTACAATGCTCGTAACAACACATTTATTTCACTGTATCTATTTACACAGTTTCATGCAAGAGACGTATGTATTGTTAATATTTAAATATACTAGCTATCGCCTGTGACTCCGTCCGCGTGGAAATAATAAAAAACAGAAGTAAACAGCCTATGTGTTCTTCTAGACTATCCTCTACATCTATACCAAATTTCATCCAGATCCGTTCAGCCGTTTAGGCAACAGACTCTAAGAAACATCCATCTATCTAAACTTTCGCATTTATAATATTAGTATGAAGTATGACAATAGTATGATAGTTGTGTATCATACTAATACTTCAATGATTGAATTGGATGTGTTATCAATACTCATTTTCCTTTCAAAAAACCTGAGATACAACATGTTTTTCAACTTGTTTCGGCAATGAAAACAGCGAATTTACACAATATCTATTAATTCGTTATCTCAGTTTCAATTACAATGATAATATAATACAATTAATTAAATAGAACACATTCCTTTATCTTCATTTATATTTGATATCAAACAAAAAGGAACCTTACACCATGAATCACAAAAGCAAACCTTTTTTAATTCCACTTACATCTTAGATAATGTTAAATTAAGCTTTTAGTATGCTTCTCGTTCGTCCACAAAGTTAACAAAAGACAAATCCTTTTTCCAGGGAAATAAAGAGTATTTAGATGCCTCACTAAGGGAAAGATTAGTATAAGGGGGTTATTTCCAAAAATAAATAATCTGTAAGTAACGATTTAATTTATTTAAGCAATAATTTAATGAAGATTTCTTAATTGAATTAACTTACTAAGTTAATATAGCGAATAAAATTTAACGTGAAATAATAACTTGTTCTAGGAATCATGTTAACAGAAATATAAATAACCGTTAGCGATTCAATTACTTTGAAAAAACATTTCTTATAAATTGGTTTGGGGTGACGAACAGTCCTCGGAATAGTTCCCTATTCACACAAATATAAGGTTTCGTCTTTGTATTGTTTACAAAAGGAACATGTCAATTTATACGTTTAATAACATTTATGTAGGTTTATTTACTTGGATTTAACTTTAGTTTGGCTTCCTTTGATTATAATAAAAAAGGTAAAGTTTATATTATTGTACATCTTAGTACATCTTAGACAAAACGATTTTAAACAATTTTACAGTAGTAATACAGTACAGATAACTCGTAGTTAATGCTTAAGAGCGGGCACACCTTTGACTAAAATATCGCACAACGGTTGTGCGATTGTCGATTGTTTTGTAGTCCATTCAACAGTGTGCACATCTCCATATAAGTTCATAGAAATAAAAGCGAGACTAAACAGTTTTGAGACAGTTTAGTCAAACGCGCGCTCTTTGATATGTAACAAATAATTTAAATGCTATCAAAGGAAGTAAATAGAAGCCATTAGTATGTACGAATCAATTTATACACTTCCACGTTCCCGCATGAATAATAATTGTTAGGATTAAAATGAACCGAACGTTAATTAACTGAAGCACTCATGAAAACACACATACAAAAGTAAATTAATCTATGTTTGTTGTATGAACGTTTGAAGTTTAAAAGTGGTATTTGCGGTGATAAAAATGCTGATACCTGAATGTGAAAAGTATCAATAAAAACCCGATGGTTCACGGCACAAACAACTCATAACTATGTCGTGTGTTCGATGCAAATTTAATTGTTTTTTATATTAATTTTTTAACCAACAAAGTGGACAGTTCACGAAATCTAAGTTAATCCATAAACAGGACTAATTTGATTCTAATTTCAAAAATGTATCGCTATTTTTAATTATCAAAGTTCCTTAGTATATTCTGTGTCCCTTCCCCCAGCCTCCCCTCCCCTGCGTAGTCACGAGCGCCCTGACCGCAAACAATTACATTACATCAAGCGTCGCCTGCGTCTTAATGCAATTAGAAGACCGACGTGCTCCCGATTTATACGTAATTGTGTGCATAAATAGCACTACGGGGAATTAATTCTTATTTAATTAACCGCAAGATGTTTGTTACACACTTTTTATAGGAACATAGAGTATTGAAAGTGAGAACAAAACCAGTGTTAGTAGACTTATCTTTACGGATAGACTGTTTGATTGATGTCTATTATTTACCGTCAGCATTCTTTCTATGTTTAACATACTCTACTCATAGCTACTCTGTCAGATGACATGAGCATTTTCTTAAATTACCCTTTCAATTAGGGCGTAAGATCGCGTAGTATTAAGTCTAGAATCCTTCAAATGAAATCAAACATTTGTTTTTTCTTTATAAAAGCGATATCAACGAAATTAATGTATCTCTTTTAATACGAGATTGTAACATCTACAACGCAATCACGTACCGGAAAGTGGAGGATAGAATTTATAGAAAACATAATTGGTTTTGTATCGGAGCGAGTGGGCTATTTCGGTAATGGACGCCGGACCGCGCAGGACCGCGCCGGACCGCCAGATCTCAAATGTATTACGCCGTTTTACTCTGGATTTTTCTCACATTTCCTCGCACGAAGTAAGAAATAAGTTCATGTGGAAACATTACTTCGAAAAGTGCAACAAACAGTTTTTAAATGTTCTTGGATGTTAGCGATTTCGTTTGGAGTTATTTTGATTATTTAGCAAATTCTTTTTACTTCTAAAAATATAAAACGCTATTGATTCTTTCATATAGAACAATATTCTCTACTACAGTACAATTGAACATTTGTAGTATATTTATAATCTGTAATTACAGTAATAACAAAGTAAATTGAGCGAATGTAACAAATTTATGAGTTCTGTGGTCACTAGCAGCGAATAACAAAGCCATTTATTTTTGATTGTTGTAAATTGCCTATTTATTATATTCATTTAATACAAACATACACAGATAAATTTTTCACATACTGATGTGCTAACAACGATGCAATTGTCACATCAAATTAGCACGCCTAGCAAATTACACTACTCGATTTTTAGATGTGCAAATAAACAATTGAATTCGCTGCGAAACAATCGACAATCGCACATCAGTTGTGAATATTAAAAAACATTTTAAAGTAATGTATCAAAATACAGGAGTTGCAATTTGTTGCAACATAGTATACAAAGTAATTGATGAAGGCAACATATAAACAGAAAACAAAGATATAAAAGAGAATGCGATTTGAAGCCAGTCCGTGTCTCAGTACAATAGTACTTACAGCCCCAGAGATGACGACCGTTTTAATTACACTTTCATCGTTTTACCCTTTTGAATTTATTTGTTACGAGATGAAATTCTTAATGTCTATGCCTTAAATGTTACTTTAAATGCTGTTTTATTGCAAGAGAATCGTTTTATGTTTAGCAATCTGTGGAACAACACAAGTACGATTGTGGTAATTTTATTATCTGTAAGAAGTGAATGATGAAAATTAATCCAGTATTTTGTGGTTACTTTTTTCTAAATTAATTCCATTTAGAAAAAAAACTTTCGTTAGCATTATTTTTAGTGTTATTTCTAAAAAACATTTTTCTTTTGTTCCAAGTTTATTACATAAAATTACGGTCAATTAACACGCGTCTATTTACCGAAAATAAATGATAAATTCAATATCTATTTAAAGATTGAACCATTAGGCAATTTCAAACAAAACCTTCAGTTTCTTTGTTAAAGATTTTTAAACTTTTCAAATATTGTTTCGGAACTCGCGCTAAGAATATAAAATACGAAGTTTTTAATATATTCATGCAGAAACTTTCTTTAAATTGTATTGGAAGTTTCACTTAGAAGATAAAATATGGTAAAGCAATTATTTAATTGCAATTCAATTGGTTAAAGGTGTTTTTTTATGTTAAGGAAATTAAAATTATTAATACAAATATTTTTGTATTTTTTTATGTTTAAACACTTATGAACATGTCCTTATTTCTTTTCACAAGTGGGGAAAGGGATTGGCTCCTGCAGCACAGGGGAACCTAGTGCAGGAGCCAAGGCTCTCATGAAATGTATATTTTCAAAAGTGAAGTTATAAACCATTTATTAACAAAAGTACATGCAGTTATGGTATATCTTGAAGTAGTTATTCTTACAGTATACAAACATTGAAACACCGATCGTACCAAATCACATTTCCTTCGGTTAATCCATATTTATTTTGGTGACCCGAACGCCGGCTGTTCGGACGCGATAAAACACGGAACTTACTTTTTTTATATTAATAGTCATAATTCCTTACAATTGATGAATTGACAACCTAAAATCATTTTGATAAACGAACAAATTACCTAATTTAAGATACTTTTTTATAATAAGGTCTTATCAAAACAATAGTTTCATAAAAAATTCAACTTAATTTTCTCCCTTATACGGTTTATTATTGTAAATCAAAACCAAAACAAAATACAGACTTATGCAAATTAAAAGTAAAAAAATATGTGAAATGTACTTGTAAAATTATATGTAAACTGTAATATTGTGTTTTGTATAAATAAATGAAAAAAAAAACAATATGCCTTAGAGAACGTGTCATTTGAAATTGGTGCCCCTTTTCTACAAACATCCTTCCAAATTTTCGCATTAACATTAGTAACAAGTAACATTGATGCTGTAGTTTACTTAACTAAAGCTTTATAACTACAAAAAAGGA